GAGGGTACTTCCATCGATAGGATAAGCAAAATCGAATAAATCTGCCCCTGGAACATGGAAATATACACTGTTTTTTTTTTTTTTGTGTGTGTCTCTACGAAAACCTTTTCCGTTTGTGTCTGTACGAAAACTTAGCAATGTCCGGTAGGGGTACATTACAAAGATGGGATCCGGCGTGTCTCTGCGAAAACTTAGCAACTGCCAGGCCATTTTGCAAAGTTGGGCAGCGGGTAGGGGTACATTGCGAAGATGGGATCCAACTGATGGCTTGGGTGTTTCGCAAAATGTTTTGTCGTTGTCGTTCGCGGCAGCTACGCTGCGGCGGGGKCCACTTGTAATTATTATTATTACTGTTGTTATTATTGTTACTGCCAAGTCTTTTTCTGATTTCTTTCGGTCCCTATCACTTCGCGGGAAGGCCGACGGTTCGAATTTCGAATGCGGCAGCAGCCTGTGGCCCATACTGGTTTGGCCTGTCACTTTTCGGACCGATGGTTGGGAGGTTTGATCGGGCGCCGCGCGGTAGGACCCCAAAAGAAGGGCGACCCGCGGCCGCATCGGTAGGAGGCCCATCACCCCCTATAGGAGGTCATGAACCCCCTCCTTGCCATCGGACACGAGTACCCATCAGAGATAGTCTGAGGGTGCCTTTTGAAGGGGAAAATGCGCTGGAGGTATCTCGTTATGGGACCATGGCTTCGAGCCTGAGGTCACTTCACGATTAAAATGAACGGCTAGTGGCCGAAAGTTGGGGTAGGCACTGTGACCGTTGGTGTTTTGCTTCAAGCCACCCTTCTCTGTTTATTCTAATTTATTTTGATTTATTTTGTTAATTACGAATTTGTAGATTGTTAGAACATAGAACTCTCAGAGTTATCTCGCATTTAGAAAACAGGGATCTTGGGCTATAAAGAGAAGAGGGGGATGGAGTTGCATGGTGTGCACGAGGTGTGCCCTCTCTACTCTGAGAAGCTGGGACGCTGTTCCCTGCTAATCACTTCGACAGTGCTCTGTTGGTCTTGTGGGCAGTCTACTGCGTGTATTCTAGTAGTGACTTACTGTTCTGGGCGGGCAGATTTGTGCTGTGCAAGGTCTGCTGAGAAAAGCCTGGCTATGGCACTGCATGGCTATAGGCCAGGTTACTGGTACCACCAGGCTCGGTGGAAACCCCTGTCTGGGGAAGGGCCCTGGATCACGGTAATGCTTAACTACGATGGAGGGGACGAACTGAGGCTGAAGATCAACGTGGAAGGGGCTAAGGAGGTGGAGATGCGGACTAACTCGAGACTGCAGGACGCGATCACGGAGGCAAGAGATCGTGCGGAGAGGCGCTGCAGGAGGGACGGAGTGACGGCAATAATGCAGGTAACGGTCTCGTATCATGAGACCGAGACCTCAATGGACACAGCGGACAGGGAACAGGCCCATCTGGACAGGGACTCAGGTGGGGAGAGCGAGATGAGCGAGGCAGGAGACTGGGAGACGGACCTTCAGTCCTGGAACAGGCCGGACCAGGTTCGCAAGAACCACCCGCTGGCACGACCTGTGGAAGGCGGGCCCGAGGCCAGCTCGCGGCAGCGGAGTCCCAGAGGGCGTGGGACAGGAAAGGAGGGAGGAAAAGGAAGGGTACGTGTGTGATCGAGACAAGCAGTGAGAAAAAAAAAAAGCCTCTCGAAAGTCAACACGTGGGGCGAGTCTTAGAGAGACGGGGGAGATGTGAGGCGGTTACACGGGAGGAGGGAAGCACAGAGGAGGATACGCGGTACGCAGGCGACACGTGACAGTCTGGAGGGGTGAGAAGAGGTCAACGAAAGGGGAGATTGCACGAACGAGCAGGACACGATCTTGCTAAGCACAAGTGACATTGACTTCTGCCTTCACGTTCTCGCGCAGCGTTTTTGTGTCTACTGAGCCGCGGCGGTTCCTCGTGCTGTGAAGGGGGAGCCAGGAGTAGTGAGTGTGCGCGTGAAAAGGAGAGAAGCAGGACATGTGAAGAAAAAAGCGAGGGAGTGGCTACTGAGCCACTACTGCAACAGGGATGCTCAGAGTGCTGACGTCAACTCTACTTGGTTGGAGCGGTGAGATCGCCCTATCTTCCTTTCTTTGAGCGATCCTGGGTAATTGCTTTGGAGGTCTGAGCTTCCGTCATTGATGCACTGCGAGCGTACAATATGCGGGTAAAGCTTGGCTAGAATGACGTCTAGTCAAAGTGATAGCGCAGTGAAGATTAGGGGAGGAGCGCGGGTAATTACGGGAGAGAGGGAGAGGCTTTGTGGTAGAAGAGGTTGGCGCCTCGTGATAGTGGATCGCATGTCAGCGTCCGTCTCGTTCTCACATCTATTGAAGCAGATGCTCGCAAGAGACTCGAACATTTTTGTAACGACACGGGGGTGGGCAAGCTACCATTCAGCGGGCTAATATTGGGCGATCTGTCCTGCCTAGAGGGTCGGTCATGCCCGAACGGACATCAGGCCCTAGTGTGTGCTCATGCCGTCGGAGCCCCCCCCACTTATAGATGAGCGTTTAGCGTGTGCTCTCCCGGTGAGTAGAAGGCAAGCTCATCGGATGGAAATGAGCAGGTGGCTAGCTGCTGACGCCATCTTTCCCGTGCCAGGAGGCGCAGAACCACAGAACCGCGAGAGAATGCGCCTTGGCGTACTGTGACTCATCCCGCTCACTCTCGATAGCCGCGGCGCAGTTCGTCAAGCGGCTTGACGAGTTCTTCGTGAAGCCTTAGCGGGATAGGTGCTATGGGCCGTTTATGGAGTACGAGAGATGCAAGTAATTGAGCCGGCCCCATCGACCAGATTCTCTTCCAGTTATGTTAACCTGGGGGCTGAAGAGAAAGACAGTCAGTTGAGTTGGGATACTCGTAGGTTAGGATTGTGTGCGAGTAAAGGATTAGCAATAGTCTGCTGAAGATCATGTTTCCCTGTTGGCTCTACACTGAGACTTTACCTTTGGTTTGGTGATTAGGCCTTATGACTGGGTAAGACTACCTTGTGAGCCGTGAGCTTCTTCATTGTCAATTGTGCTGTAATAATTGAACCATAAGGTAGCTTACATAAGTGCTTGCTACCTGTTTGAATCGGGGGATAACTCTATGGCGAGGGAGTTTTTATCTTGGTTGTTTCTACTCTGTTCCGCGTTTGAAACCAGTCACTGAGACCCTATCCAGCTAGAGAGGGAATCGCACCGTAGCACTCAATCTGCGTAAACGAAACTGGATTGAGCTCGGGCAGAGGTCGTTACCTGAGAGAGAGTGGTGTTCTCCGTACTAAACCAAACTAAGGGAAAGGGAGTGGGACAGGGTTACTAAATCAGCTAAACAGATAAGGCATCACCCCCTTTTCTGTCTATGAGCATGCTTGACATCGGAAAAACTAGTTGCATTTCTTGCATCCGACAGACGCGTCAATGTACTTTGATGAATAAGGAGATTACCTGTCTGGGTCCTCGCTGACAAACTTGTGCAGAGAAGAGAGGAAGGGGGTCGGAATGAGCGAGGGTCGCGAGTGCTTTCACAAGAATCAGAGGATATTGCATAATTGTTCATTGCATTCTCTCTTGTTTGGATGGACAAGAAGAAAACCATACTGGGTGACGTGACACGCCTCTCATTTGAGTCCCTTCATAATGGGGATTAGCAAGATACCCGTTTGACATCCGTGTATGACCCCTTGAGTAAGTTGTATGCGGAAGTCTTCTGGCTAGCGTGAAGTTTGTCAGTTTGCATACAATGACTGTTACCTGGGGGTTTAACTTGTCTTATTACTGAAGGCCTGGACCTCTGAACATTGCTCCCTTAACTGGGACAGTATTAGCCCTTGGAGGTGGCTTGATGGATGAGACGAAAGTGATTGGTTAGTTACCGCGGTTCCATTGTCCCCTGCCCCGCGATCAGGCGAGGTCCCAAGCAAAGTCTAAATCACAACCCCGTGAGTTTCTAAGGTTAAACGGGGGCTGTGTTCTGAACGCTTAAGTGAGAGGTTTTCGTATAGGGCACGGAGCATTTGGGGGCACCGTCATTCTGCCCACAACCAAAACCCAACGCGGGGGATTAATGATTTAAGTGGCACTTTAGCAAGGCATAATCATAAGCTTCTTGAACCTTACAAAGACTCTCTGCGGCAGTACAGCCGTGTGACTCTAGAAAAGTATGACTCTGCGGGCGTGTGCATGATCGTACGAGCACAAGGCTGTGTTGTTTTGCGGGTTAGAAGAAAGCATGATGGAACATGGGGGCTACGTATGTATGTAGGCGAGCTGTAATAGAGTGAACCTGCCGGTGCACATTTAAAACCACTGGCGCTTGATCAACAAATAAAGTCGTCCCTTCGCATCTGTCTCAAGCTACAGTGAACATTTTCTTTAGGTGATGAGTCACAGGGGAAGGAAGCAACAATTAAGGAGGATATTATATTTAATTGTTAAGTTCCTATTAGATGGGGACTGAGGGTGGCATTACTTAATGACTGTCGGGTGATGTGATTGATGAAGGCCTACAGCCAAGACATAATCTTCGACATTCCCCAGTCTCCTCCCCTGATTTCAACGAAGTAATATAGTCAGAGAGCGCTATGAACTTATTTCATCAATTGGGGAAAAAGCCATGACTACCCTCTGAACTCTTGTGATTGGACCCTCATGCCACCCAGAGACCAAGAAACAAGATTATCCAACTGCCTTGCTTTTGGTTGCTCAGTTTATGACTGTGGATCCCAAAGTAACGAGGCTACCCATCTGTACACTGGGTGATTTGAAGGAAGTTCCCTTCTGTACCCCCCCCCCCAGAATGAGCGGGCTCTGTCTTGAAAGGGGGAAGTGATGAGTGCGCCAACTTATTATCTGAGAGACCGAAAGTCGGAAGGTAGAACCAGTAATTCCTCTTTCGTCAGGTCTTTCAAAGTTAAAAGATCGGAGGTCTGTTGGTAGTCGAGTGACTGCACCCTTGAGTTTTTCCCCTCCTTTTCTTGGCTACTGCTAAAGTACTCTGACCAGCAGCATTTGGATTGGCCTTGGCAAGGGAACTCAGCTCAAAACCGATGACCATACTACCTTGTATTTGATGTCCTACTGAGATCTAAATCATGGGACCAAACTGAATGATGAAGGATACGGAGATTCTGGTGATAAAGTTCAGCTCTATCAGAGATAAGGAGGAGAAGTGGGAGGAAAGTTTTCTTCAGAGCATGGAATCTCAGATACCGATACAAAGGGGATTTGCCGTTGCTATGGCGGAAAGGGAGAAATATATTGAGTACGTGGCTTACATTTATGGTAGTGATGGCAAGTTACACAGCACCTGCTCATGGCTAGAATCAGTGGAGCAAGCTAGGGCAATGCTCAGGTGAGCGCAGATATATTTGGGCACCTCACCAGAGATACCCGCCTGCATCTCAAAAGCCAAGAGTCTCATTCTGCAATCAGCCATCCATCCAGCAATCAGCAGCCAAGTGACTAGTTTTCTCAATAGTTGTCAAGTGAGCAGTGCATCGCGCTGCTATTAAGTGGACAGTGATCAATCAGTACCTAATTGGTGTTCAATCTGTATTCTACTGGAACTCTCAAGTGTCAGATACCAGCTAGTAGAAAAAAACAGCTGTATCCAGTTATTAAGTGACCATTGTATAAGGACCTACTACTGTGGCATCAGATCTCAGTCAACCGTCAGTCAGTCTCCTTGCCAGAAGAGAATCACCTAGTTCTAAATTTTCATCTCAGCCTACGAGTACAGTCAGGTCATCCTCATCATCCTTAGTTTCAGGGGATTGTCCCAGCCAGTATTCAGTGCTGTCATCAGTGGCCAGTATTTAGTGCTGTCATCAGTAGCCAGTATTCAGTGCTGTCATCAGTAACCAGTACTTGGTGCCGTTATCAGTAAGCAGTACTTAGTGCTGTTATCAGTAAGCGGTACTCAGTGCCGACGACAGTGATCAGTACTTAGCATTGTTAACAGTGACCAGTGTTCAACGCTGCTGCCGAATTAACAGTACTCTGTGTCTCTGCCAGGTGAGTAGCATTCTGTCACCCCAGCAGCGCTCAGTTTCAGTCAGCAAATTGGCAAGCAGCAATCAATCAGCAAACAATCAACTTCTAGTCGGTATTCAGATCAGCATCCTGATCAGCATTCACCCTGATCGGCATTCAAAAAAAAAAAGGTATTCAGATCAGCATCCTGATCAGCATTCAGAAAAGGTATTCGGATCAGTGTTCAGAAGTAACATCCAGAAACGGCATTTAGAACATTACTCAAAAGTTTTCCGGCAGCACTCAAACAAGTGTTTGGAGGCTGTCAGTCCTGTAGTAGTTGACGTCCATACAGTGGACAGCGTGCGACTCGGTTGCAGCAGACGACCGTCAATCAAGTAGTCCTTTCCCTCTGTCTGGGGGTAGCTATTTATTCACACATATGAGAGAGATCAATCCCATCACAGTTGACCAGTAGGTCCTTGACAGCCTCAACCTGATTGCTGCCAAGGAGAGCTTCTCCTACAAGTATGTCAGAATTGACGGATTCAAGCGAGAAGATCTGCCTATCTTCGTCGTCCTCACTGAGTTCGCTGAGGGTACAGTCATCGATCTGCGGATCTTCCTGAAAAAGGGGAACGAGACACATCCTCATTTTGATGTTGTGTGGGCTGCGGCAGCCGGGTTTGTGCAATGGAAAGCTGAGAGACTCCAGGGGAACGCAAAGCTAGTTTATAGCTTTGGCCCTAAGCTTTTCACTGACTATCCCAAACCGCCGGTCCCGAACTATCTTACTGACGGCTCTTATTGGGGTGGACTGGTGGACTTGGCCAAGAGATACATATCGCCGGCAGTGATCGACTATGAGGCAGTGTCCGAGCCCTCTGAGTTTCCGCATCTCAGGAGGGGCATTTTCTCTCAGCCATATCTCCCCACTCTATGGGAGGAGTTTTGTGCCATGGTTGACTTCCGTATCATGGGACTCGGCTGGAAGTGTTTGGAACTAGCGGGCTTCAGGTGGCTTTACATTCAGAAGCCACAGACTCAGAGAGTACGAAGGCATGGCAAGAAGCCCAAACGACAGAGATTGAGTGTGAAGTTCAGAGGGATGAGTGAGGACTCTTGATTGGTGCTGGCCATGCTCTCCCATATGTACTCCCTGAGATTATTATGAGTTCTCATTCTTCCCTCATTCATTTGATCCTATCATTGCTCGAGTCAGTCGGTCTTGCTTCTTGCATTGTTCTTGCCTGATGATTGATTTCGTGCATGATTCCGTCTCAGTTCTCAAAATCAGATTGACATAATTGATGCATTCATAGCACTCCATAATTGTATGATTATTATTTGCATGATTCTTTGCTGTTCCGAATCAAAATAAAAGATTCCTAAATCCGGGGACCGGCGAAGATCGCAATTGAAGGGTCTCACTCGAAGTCGGACGCACACAACAGGAAGGGATTTGCATTATTTAATTTATTTTATCTACTGCAATCACATACAAAACCCTGCGTGACAGCCTGTTGGCTTTCTGGTCGCCCGAAGAGGACCGAATGGAAAAAGTGCGACAGCGTGTCAGTCGACACTTGAGTGTCGATTGCGACCTTTGAGATTAACGAGGATCGCATAAGTATGGGTACTACATAGTATGCCATCATTGCGACCGCTTGCGTACGCTTGCCTTGCGAGGCGATATGAGTTAGCCCTGCGTCCGCGCGGTTTTATACTAAGTCTCGCGCGCGACGCCTATCCGATTTCCGCATCGGAGAGTTATGGGATGGCTACTAAGGGAGTAGGAGTGTTGTCGCGTTGTTTGTTCAGTGTCGTTCTGTATATGTATATGTACGTGCGTGTGTGTGTTTTTTTTATTTTTATGTTCTTTATAGTGGTGTGCGCGTGGCGTGGGGGATGCGTTCTAGTTGACCGACGACGAGTCGTGCTTGGGACCTCAGCCCCCCAAGATGTCGGTTCGCGTGCGGGTCCGATAGAGGCGTAATACCGCGCGTACCCCCTATGCTACAGCGAACGAGAAACGTCCTCGGCTGGTCCACCTCTGCGATTGCAGCTGATTAGCTTTCGTACTGTGGACTGGTAGCTCGGCGGGGATACGCCCACCGAAGGGAGGTGACAACTCCCGCAAGGTGGAGGTAAGTCGTGCC